CCCCCCCCCTCGCCTCCTCCCTCCAGCTCCCTTCTTTTTTTCTCTGTCCTTTCTTTTCACCCTTTCTATTAATTCTCTCTCTTTCTTTCTTTCGATTACTTTTTATGTAACTAGAAAATCCCTATCCTCTTACTTTATCTTAAATTTCCGTTTTAATCAAAGTTTCTTCTTACTATTGTGATAATGTGATTTTTTTTTTTTTTTTTTTACGTGCATTTAATTAACAATTTAAAATTGAAAAATTAGGATTTTTATATACATGTATATACACATATGTGTTCGTAAGATATTAGGAATTTGTTAATAAAAAGTTAAGCAGATATATTTGTGAATATGATGAAAAAAAATTTGAACCAAAAATTTATTGTCGATCGTCAGTTTTAAAAAAAATTCAAAATTTCATAAATTGGAGATTTTTCAAAATTTTTTTTTTCATAGCCCCAAGTATTCTCTTTTAAAACAAGCCGTAAGTTTTTTTTTATTTTAATTGCAATAGTCTTCGAGATATTTTTAAAACATAAGTTTAGAAAACAGGAAAAATAGTGAAATATCGAATTTTGCATAACTTTTGGCAAAAATTTTTTTAATTTTTTTTCATTTGGCAGAACTTCGTTATAGGATAAAAGAAAACTTCTGAACAAATTTCGTCCAAATCGAAAGGGGTCGATTTGACGTGGAATGACCGTTATGTTAAATTGTTTATAACAAATTGTTAATTAATTATTGTTAATAAGTTAATTAAAAAATGTAGGATTAATTGCTCATTAAAATGAATTTTATTTCATGTTTCTACGATTTTTAGTTCGAAAGATATTCGTATGTTAATGTTAGATGTTTATGTTTATACTCATTGACTTATATCATTTCTTAGAATTCATTGATAAACAACTACTAACCTACATAAATTCTTGGAAAACTACTACGTATTATGAAACATATGACTATCGTAGTAAACACTTTTTACTCTAAATACTATTACGTTTACTACGCCTTCTACGCGCGTACTACGAGATACTGGTGTAATCCAAATTTTGAATAGCAATATTTCAAAGACGATATCTCCGGAACCACACATCGTAGATACATGATTGAAACACCATTTTAAAGTGGAAAATACTCTCTTTAAATTTATATACTTAAATATTATCCTTATATAAAAAACAATATTTTAAAAATAAAATAAACGTACATATACTCACTCACATTTTAAAAACTTTCAAAACAAAATTGATATCTTAAAAAATGAGTTATTTTAATTGTTATAAAATATTTTATAATAATAATAATAATAATAATAATAATAATAATAATAATAATAATAATGCGAATTACAATTTATTATGTTAGTTCGATAAAAATTTAAATTGCAAATATTAATCGTATGAATTTATTGATCAATAAATAACAAACATTTTATTAGAAATAATAATACATTATTATTCAGAATAGTTATGCTAGATGTTCAATAATATCATGCAATTTGAATTATTTTCGTATTGTAGGATACAGTAAGCCAAGATTGGAATGTCCAAAGGATGTAGTAGCGGAATTACCACCAGGACGAGATGAAGCTTTCGTGACGTTCGATCAACCTTCGACAGATCTTGATTGGTTCCGTTATGTACGATCTAAACCATCCTGGGGTACAAGATTGGAAGCCAATTTAAAAGTTGGTACACACGAAGTTAACTTTTTTGCGAGACACCCGGTATCGAAGAAACAAGCCAGCTGTGTATTGCGTATCATCGTCAAAGGTTAGTTAGTTAGTTAGTTAATTATTCGTTATGTTGCTTTTAATTATATACTTTTTTAAACCGTTTCGAAAGTAAAAAAAATCTACGTATACACGAGTAGAGTAGTTAACTTGATATTTTAACACATTTCTTTTAGTATTTTTCTGGTAAAATATTAAAAGTATTCTAAATGAATTATTTCAATATACAATTATTAAAATTAATTATTATTATTATTATTATATAATTAATATATTTATATAAAATTTCAAAATATAATTTACAATTAATTATATTACTTAACGATTAATATTCCATCAACAACATTTTATAAAAAAATATATTCAAAATTTTCAACTGTTCACTTACAATTCATACAACTAACATCTTGCAGATAAATACAATTATCTACATATTATCTACAAAATACATATATATCGCGCATTGTTGTTGTTGTTGTTGTTGTTGTTGTGTCTTCTTCTAAGGACTTTGGTGGAATAGAATGCGTGCACCGGTGCATGCACGTGCTGCAATCCCCGTGATATGCAAATTTGTGGTTACTTGAGAATTGTTAAGTTACACATTTACTATGTAAGTGTGAAACTTGCTTGTTCATCCTCAAAGAAGAAGTATTATTATTATATCTACAAAGCAACCGTTAATCTCGGCCACTGAACGCTACTCTATCCTTTCAAAAGGATTTAATTAAATGCGTTTCTGGAACATGCCTTCTCACAATACCGGATACGAACGAACAAACGATGAGTTGGGTGGATCGGTAAGGTGGAAGTTGAAGATGGGTGGATGGGTGGTTGGTTGGGTGAGGTGCGGGGATTATACGGATACTGATACAGAGAGGTGTGGATAGTGAATTGTTAGAGGAGAAGGGAAAGGTAAAGTGAATGGGGGTTGCAAGGGGGTGGGTTAAACATTGCTCGACCGCGAATCGGATAATTCGATGAGTCTAAGCAAACGCGTTCGGCTAACTCGACATTGCCGGATGTTAGATTTCCTCAAGGAATTTCTCATTCCTCAATTTCCACCCCACCCCATCTCACTATTACCCCATTTTCGTTAAACCATTTCTCAATCTTCTATCACTCCATCTCTCTCTCTCTCCTCTTGTATCTGAATCCTTTTCTATCTCATACATACACTTTGTTTAATGATTTAATAAAAATATATTTAAATAAATTGTTATAGTTAAAGTATGTGCAATATATTTGAAAGAAAACATTATAATTTAATCATTAAATACTTCATTACAGTACCTAAAAGGTTAAATTAGTGTGTGTGTGTGTGTGTGTATACGAAAAGTCTCAAATATCAGAAAAGTGACACAGTGGGAAAAGGAGGGAGAGGATGGGGGGTTATAAAAGCGAGTTTATCCTCAAGAGGGCAAATACAATGAAGGGAGGGTGGGTTTACCTTTCCCCGTTTCTCTTTGTATCGTTTCAAAGCAAGCATATAATATCTACAGTTACAATTAGTAACGAGAATGCAAGAGATGTGGTCGACGCATGCAAATTCCATCACCCTCAGCTTCCCCCTCACTCCCCCATCTCCTCCGTCTTTCTCTGTCACTCATTTAATCTCTCTCTCTCTCTCTCTCTCTCTCGTCATCTTTCTCTTTCTCTCTTTCCATTTCTCTTTATTTCAAAGTAGTTACTCTTGGTGAGCACTGCGATTTAATTAAATACGTCACCGGGTTGAATACAAACGGGTTCCTTTTCTTCAACACTATTAAGAACACTTCGAGTTACTACTATTTGGATAATTCGACGAGTAATATAACTAAAACGCTTTACTAATTCTCAAAGATCTTTTTATTCTTTCTTTCTTTCTTTTTTTTTATTCTTTCTTAAAGAGACAGATTTTATTTTCTTAAAGACACGCAAAAAAGGTTCTACTTTAAAATGTTTTTGACGTTATAGTTGGTAATAATTGGTATCTTTGTTGTGGAAATGATGTGACACTGTTTCCTCGAGTACCTGTTGCGAAAGAAATAAAAAAGAAAAGAAATAAAAAATAAATACGGTGCGCACAAAACTGGCAAATGGTTAATAACATTGTCGTAAAAATGACTCTTAATAATGGACGTTTAAATTTTGTAACGACGATTTTTAAGTACTGCATTTTAAATTTCACATTCACCTTCTTCCCCTTTTTTTACCCTTTCTTTTAATAATTAAATAAACGAACAATTAAATGTTAAGTAATCGTTCGAATATTCAATTAATACGTTGTTATCGTTGTTTCACGTTTATTTTCGAACAACGTTTCAAACGACAGATATTATTAAAATATTTTATCCTGTTATTTATTTATATTGTCTTTTTCCCTAAAAGCTTTGCGTTATTTTATTCGACAAAATATGTAAACCTTTGAAAATAATATTAACCATTATTTTTGGTTCGTAATATTTCTACGTATTACGCGTATCACATATCATTGTTAATTAAAATGGTATAATTTTTTTTCTGATTTCTCGATATTATGATAAATAATAAAGGTTATTAGTAATATGGGATAATAATAAAAATATGTTATTTTATACAATAAAAAATAAATGCAATAGAAATGGCAGGCATTATTTTGATTATTTTTGATAATCACAATATATTTTCAATTATTTTCATTCTTCTCAAATATACATTATTAGGTAGCGAGTTGATCAACTTGGACCGAGCCTAATTGAGGTTTGTTGTTGGATTGGTCACCGGGCACTGGCACCTTAGAAAGCACCTTACGCGAATGGGCCTTGCACAAGACTCGGTCTGCGGCAGGTGCGGCGAAGGGGAGGATACCCCCCTCCATCTCATAACTCAATGTGTTGGGCTCGTGGACGTCAGAAATGATGTCCTTAGAACCACCGCCAACAACTTTGACCTAGTGGGCTCGGGGGCGGCCAGACTGCTGTGCTTTGCAAGGGAGTCGGGGCTGCCCGCGGGACCGCTACGGTCATAGGTTTTTCCCCGCAAGCGGCCCGGGCACAATGGCCCAGAGACTGAGCGCCCGGGTAAACAAACCTCAAGAAAAAAAAATATACATTATATATATAAATGAATATTTATTTTTGTTTGTTCARTTATTATATTTTTTATATAATATAATATAGTATTCTTTAGTATTTTAACGAACAAACATGTCAGCTTTTTTTCTATTGGACCGATAATCTCGAACCGAACTGAAGTTAGCTGAAGTTAGACGAAGTTAGCAAAAATGAACCAATTTGAGTAGGTTTGGGTAGGTTTTGGTCAGCTCGGCTCGGCTCGGAGGTGATCGGTTCAGTTCGAGAGTAGAAAGGCTCGGATCGGACATGCACCATGTTTGGAAATCATATAAACATTATTTTAATAAAAGGATTTTGATAGAGGACAACGTGCTAGTTTGAAAGTGAATTTCGAAGAGGATTGTACATAGATCATATCTTCCGAGATTTTAAACAACAATAGACACTTGTATCGATTAATTAACAATTATTTTAATATTTTAATACAATCAACTTACATTAAAGGACAACTTAACCTATAAAGTCATCATTGCGCAGGATTAATAAAATAATGAACATTAGAATAGATATAAAATTTTTTCTTATGCTCGAATCATATTTATAGATAATAATATTATATTTACTTGTGTGATAAATGGCAAATTTATATTTGATGTAAAAATAGTTTTTTGACTTGTTTAAAAAATGAAAAAACAAAACGTATATAAATGTGTTTATCGTATTGAAAGTTTGATCATTCAAACTTATATTTGTACTTTCTTTATTTTGTAAGTTTGTTTTTTCCATTGGTCTCATCTATTCAAAGTAATTCGAACGTACCAATTAAACGTCTATTCGTTCGGCAACGTACCAATCACAACGAAGCAAAGTTTTCCTGAAAACGGAACGAAACGAAAGAAAACGAAACGAAACGAAACGAAACGAGGAAAGCTTTTCTACGCTTCGTTTGATCGCGTAGAGGAGGACTTTCCACAAAGCTTTTGGCGTCGTTGGGTGCTATTCGTCGTCGTTTCGAGTAGTAGGAAAGTTTACGCGCTAAGGAGCCTCGTTAGAGTCATGAACGAACGAACTAGAACGACCATGATAAGTATACAGACCCAGGTTACTAGCCAACTGCGCGTACTCAGAATATACCGAGCGAATTATTATTATTAGAATGGTGCCCGTGATAATGAAAACTTTTGTTATACAGTACAAAACTATTTTTTCTATTATTTTTCTTTTTCTTTTAACAATGTAGGATCACAAAATTTCATCTAAGCTAGTTTTCAAATTATTTTTCTTTATATATATATTTTCTTATTATATATATATATATATATATATGCTAGAAAATTATGTTTTCTTTTTATTATTTTTGCATCATTCATTTCTCCCGCCAAAAAATAAAGAAAGCAGATAATGTAATTACCATGATCAAATGAACGATTGTAATTTGTTTTAATTTTCTTTTTTATTTGTATCATTCATTTCTCCCGCCAAAAAATAAAGAAACTGGATTATGCAATACCATGATCAAATGAACGATTGTANTATATATATATATATATATTTAGTATATGTAATATTATTAATATTATAATTTTTATTTATTTTTATTTTAATTTTTGCTCTTACTTGAAATTATTTATAATGTAACTATTCTATTTAAAAAAATTTATAAAATGGCTACCTCTAAGTAAAAGTAATGAAATATTTTTCAATGGTATTTTTGAATGAAACTAATCCCAAGATTTTCATTTGTTTTCAAATTACAGAAGGTGAAGCACCAAAAGTGAAAGATTGTCCAAATGATATAGAAGTGACCGGTAAAAATGGGACATCGATAACCTGGACAGAACCGATCTTTACGGACAACGTCCAAGTAACACGAATAAACAGCAACGAGGTAATAAAATATTATTACAATTAACATTACGACAAATATATATATATAATATTATTAATGATAGATATTAAAAAAAAGATATTAGAATAATTATGCGGTTAATAATAGTGGACGTGTCGTAAATTTACCGATGACATTTAACGAAAATTTATTTGGAACCCTTTTAACCGCACTACGAGAACGGTCCAATTAACGCGAGCTAATGAAGATTATCGTTTGCACCATTTTCGTGAGAACGATAAAAATTAATTAAGGACGAACGGAAGGACCTGAAACACGTTCAACCGAACCTTCCAAGGGACCAGAGAAGGGATAGGAGAAATAATAAATTACAAATTTTCTTTCCAATACTATATATAGTATAATATATATTATATAATAATATATAAAATAATAATAATACAAAATATATAAATATAATATAAATATAAATTAATATATGTTATATTATAAAATATAATAATAAAATATACAATTAATATAATTAACATAAATATATAAAATAATATATATATATTTATATTTATATTTATAAAAAACTTAGAAGAGTGAATGAGTAAAAAGAAAGAAATGGAAGAAAGTAAATGAAAAAGTAGAAGGTTGTTGAAAATTTTACGGGATTAATTAACCATGACTACCTATATATATATAAGATAGGGGGTGGTTGGTAATATTAATTACATAGCAAGATGCTTTACTTTACTTTACTTCCAAGATGTCGGTGCTTCCGTTCATCCACCTAAGATATTTCAAATAAAACATTGAAAATATATAATTAACAAAGATATAAATAGATATTGATAATTTTCTTTTTTTTTTTTGAAGATGTTAGTTTAAATAAATAACATTSTAGAAATTTGTAGTGTATTAACAGGAAAATGGTTTGTACGGTTCAATTAATTGTACTAATAAGTTACAGAATCGATACGAAAATTATACCTTTTAAAGTCATTAACGTTATATTGCCTCGTGGTAATATTCGTGTTTAATGGCCGATATAACGGCAAGCTCGGGCCTGACAAAGGACTACCATGCTTCATAAACGTATGCAAATTTTACAGTGGTAAATACCGTTCAAACAACGTCACGTTCTATATTTATGATACCTATATATATATACAGAATAAATCAAAAATAGGTAGATAGTAGTAAATGATAAGATTTATCTTTTGTGATTACATTTATGTGATTATATTAATTAATATTTAATTAAATTTTGAATATACACTTTTACAATTTATTATTTTATTTTATACATTTTCATATATTTATATTATACAAAAATATTAATATTAGAAAAATAAATCTTACAATTTTACAATTTTATATATTAATATTTACACTACATAAAAATACCAATAATTTTATAAAAAGAAAAAATGACAAACAAATTATAAAAAAATTATATTCATTATTATTTATCATCAATTTTTAATTTATCCTGTATATATATAAATATATATTTTCATATTAATATGCACGCACAACACACACGTGTGTTAGTTTGGGTAGGTACCAGTTATCATAACGTAATTTCACAAAGGAAACGATATAGAGAGAAGCAAACCATAATACCACCCTCCTCCCTATAATCCTCTTTTACTTTTCCCCCTCCCTCTCACATCTTCTCACCTTGTTGTCTAATAAACAGTAACGCAAACACATGGAACAAAATCGTGGCCAGATTTCACGAATACAAAGTAAATCACTAAATCGTACTTTCTCATTAGTGTTTCAAACTATTATAAATAATGATTACAATTCGGTGTTGTTGTTTATTACAATTAAATGATAATTCATAAATTTTCAGGGGCATTTTTTTTCAAAAGAATTTTCACAATTTCTTTTTTTTTGCAATCGGAGATATGTAAGTTGATAAGTGTATATATACATATGTGTGTGTATGAGGGTGTGTATATACATATATGTGTATGTATCTATATATCAACGTTATATTATCCTTTTTGTCGAGTAAAATTTCGGATTAACGTGAGAGAGAATGAGAGAGAGATAGAGATAGAGATAAAGAGAGAGAGAGAGATAGAGAGAGAGTGAGAGAGAGTGCTTTAACAGATCGAGCAAACGAGAAGATAATATCACGTTTCTAACTGAAAGCTCGTTTGCTGCTTTCATAGTTACAAATGGTAGGAAAGTTTCTTCCTTTTTATTTAATTTTTTTTTATTTTTTTTTTTTTTTTT